ACTAATGATGTTGAAGTACAGATAGGCAACAATAGCTTCGGCTTTTGTAAGGCATCAGTGAGAAGAAGATTAACAGAAGAGTGAGCAGGATATTGTTTGTTTTTATAATAATGCGATTAATACATGAATAAAAGAAATTCTTTTGCAAAAGTCATTTACAATGTGCAGGTGTTTCATATATTTTTATTCACAGTGTCAACACTGACTGGTTAGTGGCTACTCAAGTGTGCTTCAAGTCCACCGCATTGTAAGGTGTTAGATTGTGTGGTCTAAGGATCTGGGTTAAGACTCCAGGCTCCTCACACATGTGGGTTGAAATCCTATTGCTGCAATAAGAGTTTAACCAGGGCAGGCACATGCTATTGTATCCAAAAACATTCAGGCAATATTAAACATGTTTTCTAAAACAGCAAGAGCATCACTGAATGTTCTGGGCTTCTATTTTGTGCTGCACTTTTCAAGTTTTACTATCTAGATTTTTGCGATGAGGTCCTTACTCGCATTGGTAGCATGACCGAGCGGTCTAAGGTGCTGGATTAAGGCTCCAGTCTCTTCGGAGGCGTGGGTTCGAATCCCACTGCTGCCATAGTGTTCTAGCGGCAAAGTTTTGTTTCTTCCATGCCTTACCAATAAATTGTAAGGGCTGCAGTGGAAATCAAATCTGTTATAGAAGTCTGTCAAGTCCAAACATGCAGGAACCCATCAGGAGCAATTCTTCCAAACCACATTAGGCACGTGCTGTAAAGTCATTTACACTTGCATGTTTTCATGGCTTTTTGTTCATGGTCTCATCACTGACTGGTTAGTGGACTTTCCCACATGCCACTCAGTGTGCTTCAAGTCCAGTCCACTCCCTTGTAATGTGCTTTTGAGCAGAACCTGCAACTGCTGGAGAATTGATTAAGGTGCTGCTATGTTGGTCTCACCAAGGCTGCAGAGTGACAAGAGTATCCTTGATTTCATGACAGTGGAGCAGTCCCATATGGTCTAGCGGCTAGAATGCCTGGTTCTAACCAGCAGCACGAGCACGACAGTGGCGCATTACCAAACCAATCCCATATGGTCTAGCGGTTAGGATTCCTGGTTTTCACCCAGGCGACCGGGTTCAACTCCCGGTATGGGAACATGTCTTTAATGTGCCCACAAGCCAATGTGTTCTTTGTGTTAATCCCACGATGGATTACATAGGGCAAAGTTGTTGGCTGAAGGCAAACATCAGGTAAGGCTAAGCACATGGCATAACGGTTCAGATCGGGACTGTACAGTCTTCAGTGATGAGGATGTACACAAGCAGGCCTGCAATTATGAGCGGCGAGTCAAGGTGGCTGTTATGTGAAATCAAATGAGCTTCTTTGAACAAGGGTGGGTGCATTAAGGGTAGGTCTTTTGCCATCTTACAATGCTGTGATTGCAACCGTTCCTTGACTCTCTGTGAATGGTGATCCTGCCTGTTGATCAGTGCTTATGACAAGTTGCATATGGACAATGATGAAACTGAGCCAAGAGCCCATTGTTAATCAGGGTTGATGAACAGGTTTTAACCAGGACAGGCAGATGTTTTTGTGTCCAAAAAGTATTAAACATGTTTTTCTACAACAGCAAGAGCATCACTGAATGTTCTGAGCTCCTATTTTGTGCTGCTCTTTTTCAAGTTTTACTGTCTAGATTTTTGCGATGAGGTCCTCACTTGAAATGGTAGCATGACCGAGCGGTCTAAGGTGCTGGATTTAGGCTCCAGTCTCTTCGGAGGCGTGGGTTCGAATCCCACTGCTGCCATAGTCTTCAGGTTCTTTTGTGTTTCTTCCATCCCCTACCAATAAATTGTAAGGGCTGCAGTGGAACTCAAATCTGTTACAGAATGTCTGTCAAGTACAATCAAGCAGGAATCTCATCAAGAGCAATTCTTCAAACCAGGGTGATAAGATAAGAAGATAACTTTATTAGTCCACACGTGGAAATTTGTTTTGTCACAGCAGGAAGTGGACAGTGCAAAAGTTATGAGGCAAAAATTAGAATACAATAAGAATAAATACAGTACACAACTGTACAGAATAGAATAAAATAAAATATATATACAGTAGAATAAAATAAAATAAATATACAATAAGATAAAAATAGAATACAAATACAAATACTATATACAACTGAGTAAAAATACAACGATGACAGAAGGATTATTGCACTTAGTATTATTGCATATGTATGGATGTGTGTGCTTGATCAGTTAAAGTCTTTATTATGGAGTCTGACAGCAGTGGGGAGGAAAGACCTGCGAAATCTCTCCGTCCACACCGTGGGTGCGCAGTCTCCCACTGAAGGAGCTGCTCAGTGCTGTCACAGTCTGCTGCATGGGGTGGGAGATGTTGTCCAACAGGGATGACAGCTTAGCCGCCGTTCTCCTGTCACTCACCACCTCCACTGGGTCCAGAGGGCATCCTAGAACAGAGCTGCCCTTCGGATCACCCTGTTCAGTCTCTTCCTGTCCCCAGCAGAGATGCTGCCGCCCCAGCAGACCACGCCATAAAAGATAGCAGAAGCCACAACAGAGTCATAGAAGGTCTTCAGGAGTGGGCCCTCCACTCCAAACGACCTGAGTCTCCGCAGCAGGTACAGCCTGCTCTGCCCTTTCCTGTAGAGGGCGTCTGAGTTATGAGTCCAGTCCAGTCTATTGTTCAGATGAACACCAAGGTACCTGTAGCTGTCCACAGCCTCAATGTCCATACCTTGGATGTTCAGTGGTTGCAGTGGAGAATGCTTGTGCCTGCGGAAGTCTACCACCAGTTCCTTGGTTTTACTGGCGTTGATCTGGAGGTAGTTCAGCTGGCACCAGTCACAAAGTCTTGGGTCAGACCTCTGTACTCCTTGTCGTCCCATCAGTGATGAGGCCGACTATTGCAGAGTCATCAGAGAACTTCTGCAGGAAGCACTGGGTGGAATTGTGGGAGAAGTCTGCAGTGTAGATGGTGAAGAGGAACGGAGCCAGAACCGTTCCCTGTGGGGCCCCCGTACTGCAGACGACCCTGTCCGACACACAGCCCTGAGTCCTCACATACTGTGGTCGGTCGGTGAGGTAGTCCAGGATCCAGGTAGTGAGGTGATGGTCACTCCAGAGTTCTCCAGCTTATCCTTTAGAACCGAGGGAAGAATGGTGTTGAAGGCACTGGAGAAATCAAAGAACATGATTCTCACAGTGCTTCCAGCGGTCTCCATGATGTTAGGTGTTGTGCAAGTTTTCCATTCAATAAAGCCTCCAGACAAGCGGTCAGTGGTAGCTAACATTCTTTAATAATAACAAGAACAGAAGCCAAGCTTGGTGAAGGAATGCATCATTGCGGGGCAGACGATGGGCAGAGTCCCTAACTGAGTCTAGCATGGCCTTCAGTTACATACCTCTTACAGGAACTAAAGGCAGTACACAGCTGTTTTCACACCTTTGGTACCCCCACCCCCAAAGAAAGTTTCACACTCCCTTGCCACCTCTTACAGTGGAGAAGGAGACAAAAGACTCCTCCCCCACTCTGGGTCCTTTATGTGTGAATGCTTCCCTCAAACATCCTGAGATACCATCTGTTACCAGTATGAGTGTGAGAGACATGCTGAAATCCAGTGGCACCAAGGTATTATACAACCACAAAGGGACCATGAGTATGTTAAGCTATTTTCAGATGTGCGCTGCTATTTAACCCTCCGCACCCCATGACAGCAACGGACAGCCAGGAGTTTTTGTAGGTGAATAACATCAACATTTGACAATAATATTGCTCGGTTATGATAGTGAGGTGAGCTGTTGAGGATATCTGTTGTAGGTGCTGTTCCTGACAATGTAGCTGCTGTTAGCAGAAACTTCTATAAGCTTTGGGGTAATGCCACCAGACTTGGTCAATTACCCAGAAAACTCTATTGCAATGTGTGACTATAATAAAACTTGGTGTTGCAATGTGTCATTGAGAATTATTTGGAGGAATTTGGAACATCCTAAAAGGATTCTCAGGAATCTGGAACATTCCAATAGAACTCTCAAAAATCCTAAAATAGCTCTTGTGAATTCGAACATTCAAAAGAATTCTCAGGAATCTGAACAGTCTAAGAACGCTCAGGAATCTGGAACATTCTAATAGAACTCTCAAAATCCTAAAATAGCTCTTGTGAATTCGAAACATTCTAAAAGAATTCTCAGGAATACAGGGTTAACTTTTTGATACTTCTTTTTAAATACTCTCATTACTACCTTTCCCTAGCCCATCGTTGTAAATAGGAATATCTTTGTAATAACTTACTTGGTTACCTTGTGGTACAAATGTAACACGAGTGTGTGTTACATGAGACTATGCTCTTGCCCTAGTTCCATTTCAGTTAATATCTGTTGAATACAATTTACAGATGTTCAAGAAATAAAACTCTCAAGTCCAATCCACTTCAAGTCCAACTTCAATAGAAGAATCAGAGCCTTCCAGAGACGGTCTCACGTCTCTCATGGTCAGTCATTTTGACCTTTCACTAATGATGTTGAAGTACAGATAGGCAACAATAGCTTCGGCTTTTGTAAGGCATCAGTGGAGAAGAAGATTAACAGAAGAGTGAGCAGGATATTGTTTGTTTTTATAATAATGCGATTAATACATGAATAAAAGAAATTCTTTTGCAAAAGTCATTTACAATGTGCAGGTGTTTCATATATTTTATTCACAGTGTCAACACTGACTGGTTAGTGGCTACTCAAGTGTGCTTCAAGTCCACCGCATTGTAAGGTGTTAGATTGGTGTGGTCTAAGGATCTGGGTTAAAGATCCAGGCTCCTCACACATGTGGGTTGAAATCCTATTGCTGCAATAAGAGTTTAACCAGGCAGGCAGATGCTATTGTATCAAAAACATTCAGGCAAGTATTAAACATGTTTTTCTAAACAGCAAGAGCATCACTGAATGTTCTGGGCTTCTATTTTGGTGCTGCACTTTTCAAGTTTTACTATCTAGATTTTTGCGATGAGGTCTTACTCGCATTGGTAGCATGACCGAGCGGTCTAAAGGTGCTGGATTTAGGCTCCAGTCTCTTCGGAGGCCGTGGGTTCGAATCCCACTGCTGCCATAGTCTTCAGGTTCTTTTCGTGTTTCTTCCATCCCCTACCAATAAATTGTAAGGGCTGCAGTGGAATCAAATCTGTTACAGAATGTCTGTCAAGTACAATCAAGCAGGAATCTCATCAAGAGCAATTCTTCCAAACCAGGGTGATAAGATAAGATAACCTTTATTAGTCCCACACGTGGGAAATTTGTTTTGGTCACAGCAGGAAGTGGACAGTGCAAAAGTTAGAGGCAAAATTAGAAACAATAGAATAAATACAGTACACAACTGTACAGATAGAATAAAATAAATACTATATACAGTAGAATAAATAAAAATATACATAAGATAAAATAGAATACAAATACAATACTATACAACTGAGTAAAAATACAACGATGACAGAAGATTATTGCACTTAGTATTATTGCATATGTATGGATGTTGTGCTTGATCAGTTAAAGTCTTTTTATGGAGTCTGACAGCAGTGGGAGGAAAGACCTGCGAAATCTCTCCGTCCCACCGTGGGTGCCGCAGTCTCCCACTGAAGGAGCTGCTCAGTGCTGTCACAGTCTGCTGCATGGGGTGGGAGATGTTGTCCAACAGGGATGACAGCTTAGCCGCCGTTCTCCTGTCACTCACCACCTCCACTGGTCAGAGGGCATCCTAGAACAGAGCTGGCCCTTCGGATCACCCTGTTCAGTCTCTTCCTGTCCCAGCAGAGATGCTGCCGCCCAGCAGACCACGCCATAAAAGATAGCAGAGCCACAACAGATCATAGAGGTCTTCAGGAGTGGGCCCTCCATCCAAACGACCTGAGTCTCCGCAGCAGGTACAGCCTGCTCTGCCCTTTCCTGTAAGGGCGTCTGAGTTATGAGTCCAGTCCAGTCTATTGTTCAGTGACACCAGGTACTGTAGCTGTCCACAGCCTCAATGTCCATACCTTGGATGTTCAGTGGTTGCAGTGGAGAATGTTGTGCCTGCGGAAGTCTACACCAGTTCCTTGGTTTTATGGCGTTGATCTGGAGGTAGTTCAGCTGGCACCAGTCCACAAGTCTTGGTCAGACCTCTGTACTCCTTGTCGTCCCCATCAGTGATGAGGCCGACTATTGCAGAGTCATCAGAGAACTTCTGCAGGAAGCACTGGGTGGAATTGTGGGAGAGTCTGCAGTGTAGATGGTGAAGAGGAACGGAGCCAGAACCGTTCCCTGTGGGCCCCGTACTGCAGACGACCCTGTCCGACACACAGCCCTGAGTCCTCACATACTGTGGTCGGTCGTGAGGTAGTCAGGATCCAGGTAGTGAGGTGATGGTCCACTCCAGAGTTCTCCAGCTATCCTTTAGAACCGAGGAAGAATGTGTTGAAGGCACTGGAGAAATCAAAGACATGATTCTCACAGTGCTTCCAGCGGTCTCCATGATGTTAGGTGTTGTGCAAGTTTTCCATTCAATAAAGCCTCCAGACAAGCGGTCAGTGTAGCTAACATTCTTTAATAATAACAAGAACAGAAGCCAAGCTTGGTGAAGGAATGCATCATTGCGGGGCAGACGATGGCAGAGTCCTAACTGAGTCTAGCATGGCCTTCAGTTACATACCTCTTACAGGAACTAAAGGCAGTACACAGCTGTTTTCACACCTTTGGTACCCCACCCCAAAGAAAGTTCACACTCCCTTGCCACCTCTTACAGTGGAGAAGGAGACAAAGACTCCTCCCCCCACTCTGGGTCCTTTATGTGTGAATGCTTCCCTCAACATCCTGAGATACCATCTGTTACCAGTATGAGTGTGAGAGACATGCTGAAATCCAGTGGCACCAGGTATTATACACCACAAAGGACCATGAGTATGTTAAGCTATTTTCAGATGTGCGCTGCTATTTAACCCTCCGCACCCCATGACAGCAACGGACAGCCAGGAGTTTTTGTAGGTGAATAACATCAACATTTGACATAATATTGCTCGGTTATGATAGTGAGGTGAGCTGTTGAGGATATCTGTTGGTAGGTGCTGTTCCTGACAATGTAGCTGCTGTTAGCAGAAACTTCTATAAGCTTTGGAGGTATGCCACAGACTTGGTCAATTACCCAGAAACTCTATTGCAATGTGTGACTATAATAAACTTGGTGTTGCAATGTGTCATTGAGAATTATTTGGAGGAATTTGGAACATCCTAAAAGGATTCTCAGGAATCTGGACATTCCAATAGAACTCTCAAAATCCTAAAATAGTCTTGTGAATTCGAACATTCTAAAGAATTCTCAGGAATCTGGAACAGTCTAAGAACGCTCAGGAATCTGGAACATTCTAATAGAACTCTCAAAATCCTAAAATAGCTCTTGTGAATTCGAAACATTCTAAAGAATTCTCAGGATACAGGGTTACTTTTGATACTTCTTTTTAAATACTCTCATTACTACCTTTCCTAGCCCATCGTTGTAAATAGGAATATCTTTGTAATAACTTACTTGGTTACCTTGTGGTACAAATGTAACACGATGTGTGTTACATGAGACTATGCTCTTGCCCTAGTTCATTTCAGTTATATCTGTTGATACAATTTACAGATGTTCAAGAAATAAACTCTCAAGTCCAATCCCTTCAAGTCCAACTTCAATAGAAGAATCAGAGCCTTCCAGAGACGGTCTCACATCTCTCATGGTCAGTCATTTGACCGTTCACTAATGATGTTGAAGTACGATAGGCAACAATAGCTTCGGCTTTTGTAAGGCATCAGTGGAGAAGAGATTAACAGAAGAGTGAGCAGGTATTGTTTGTTTTATAATAATGGCGATTAATACATGATAAAAGAAATTCTTTTGCAAAGTCATTTACAATGTGAGGTGTTTCATTATTTTTATTCACAGTGTCAACACTGACTGGTTAGTGGCTACTCAAGTGTGCTTAAGTCCACCGCATTGTAAGGTGTTAGATTGTGTGGTCTAAGGATCTGGTTAAGACTCCAGGTCCTCACACATGTGGGTTGAAATCCTATTGCTGCAATAAGAGTTTAACCAGGGAGGCAGATGCTATTGTATCCAAAACATTCAGGCAAGTATTAAACATGTTTTTTCTAAAACAGCAAGAGCATCACTGAATGTTCTGGGCTTCTATTTTGTGCTGCACTTTTCAAGTTTTCTATCTAGATTTTTGCGATGAGGTCCTTACTCGCATTGGTAGCATGACCGAGCGGTCTAAGGTGCTGGATTAAGGCTCCAGTCTCTTCGGAGGCGTGGGTTCGAATCCCACTGCTGCATAGTGTTCTAGCGGCAAGTTTTGTTTTTCCATGCCTTACCATAAATTGTAAGGGCTGCAGTGGAAATCAAATCTGTTATAGAATGTCTGTCAAGTCCAAACATGCAGGAAACCCATCAGGAGCAATTCTTCCAACCACATTAGGCACGTGCTGTAAAGTCATTTACAACTTGCATGTTTTTCATGTCTTTTTGTTCATGGTCTCATCACTGACTGGTTAGTGGACTTTCCCACATGCCACTCAAGTGTGCTTCAAGTCCAGTCCACTCCCTTGTAATGTGCTTTTGAGCAGAACCTGCAACTGCTGGAGAATTGATAGGTGCTGCTAGTTGTCTCACCAGGCTGCAGAGTGACAAGAGTATCCTTGATTTCATGACAGTGGAGCAGTCCCATATGGTCTAGCGGCTAGAATGCCTGGTTCTAACCCGCAGCACGAGCACGACAGTGGCGCATTACCAAACCAATCCATATGGTCTAGCGGTTAGATTCCTGGTTTTCACCCAGGCGACCCGGGTTCAACTCCCGGTATGGGAACATGTCTTTAATGTGCCCACAAGCCAATGTGTTCTTTGTGTTAATCCACGATGGATTACATAGGGCAAAGTTGTTGGCTGAAGGCAAACATCAGGTAAGGCTAAGCACATGGCATAACGGTTCAGATCGGGGACTGTACAGTCTTCAGTGATGAGGATGTACACAAGCAGGCCTGCAATTTGAGCGGCGAGTCAAGGTGGCTGTTTATGTGAAAATCAAATGAGCTTCTTTGAAACAAGGGTGGGTGCATTAAGGGTACGTCTCTTGCCATCTTACAATGCTGTGATTGGAACCCTTCCTTGACTCTTGTGAATGGTGATCCTGCCTGTTGATCAGTGCTTATGACAAGTTGCATATGGACAATGATGAAACTGAGCAAGAGCCCATTGTTAATCAGGGTTGATGAACAGGTTTTAACCAGGACAGGCAGATGTTTTTGTGTCCAAAAGTATTAAACATGTTTTTCTACAACAGTAAGAGCATCACTGAATGTTCTGAGCTCCTATTTTGTGCTGCACTTTTCAAGTTTACTGTCTAGAGTTTTGCGATGAGGTCTCACTCGCAATGGTAGCATGACCGAGCGTCTAAGGTGCTTGGATTTAGGCTCCAGTCTCTTCGGAGGCGTGGGTTCGAATCCCACTGCTGCATAGTCTTCAGGTTCTTTTCGTGTTTCTTCCATCCCTACCAATAATTGTAAGGGCTGCAGTGGAACTCAAATCGTTACAGATGTCGTCAAGTACAATCAAGCAGGAATCTCATCAAGAGCAATTCTTCCAACCAGGGTGATAAATAAGATAAATAACCTTTATTAGTCCCACACGTGGGAAATTTGTTTGTCACAGCAGGAAGTGGACAGTGCAAAAGTTATGAGGCAAAAATTAGAATACAATAAGAATAAATACAGTACACAACTGTACAGAATAGAATAAAATAAAATACTATATACAGTAGAATAAAATAAAATAAATATACAATAAGATAAAAATAGAATACAAATACAATACTATATACAACTGAGTAAAAATACAACGATGACAGAAGGATTATTGCACTAGTATTATTGCATATGTATGATGTGTGTGCTTGATCAGTTAAAGTCTTTATTATGGAGTCTGACAGCAGGGGAGAAGACCTGCGAAATCTCTCCGTCCCACACCGTGGGTGCCGCAGTCTCCCACTGAAGGAGTGCTCAGTGCTGTCACAGTCTGCTGCATGGGGTGGGAGATGTTGTCCAACA